TGAAGTCGTAGCTGTAGCTTTCCTGAAAGGTCAAGGTCTAGAACCCGTGACCTGTGTCGAGGAGTCTTAGTCAGGTCTAGAAGTCGTAGCTGTAGCTTTCCTGAAAGGTCAAGGTCGTACCTGCTACAGTCCAGAAAGGTCAAGGTCGTAGTTGCTACAGTGTCGAAAGGCCAAGTCTATGGCCTTCTGGAAGGTCTGAGTAGTGGCCTTTCGAAGTTGCCCATGTTTAGGCTGAGGCAAGTGGGCAAGTGGTGGAGTCTACCCGTGCGGAGTCAGCAGTCCCAGTCCCAGTCAGTCTTAGTCCAGTCAAGCAAGTACCGCATGGGACTGTGTGCACTACGGGCATGGGAAAGGGCCAGACCAACGAGATGCAGAAGTATAAATCAAGAGGCAGCGCCCAGTCATTCATTCATTCCTGCGGGAGGCATGCGGAAGCGCTGCCACAGCGACTTGTGCTAGGTGGTCTGCAGTGAGCCCGAAGACGAAGTGGGCGAGAGAGAAGGAGCGTAGCCATAGCGATAGGGTAGCAGCGGCCATAGCCGCCATAGCTGTAGATAGAGTTCAGTGTGTGTGTGTGTGTGTACAAAGTATCGTGTGTGGGATATCCAGGGTGATCCTGTGTGTGCGAACAGAGAGTTGTGTGGGCGCTGTGTCGCCATAGCCATCTGAAGTGAACTTGTATCTGAACTTCGTTTTGGTTGCCATATCTCTGAGTTTTGAGTGGGCGCTTGTCGCCAGTTTGCTGCGCACCTGTTTGCATGCATGAGAAGTGTGAATGAGAGCGAGTCTGATTGCAGGGTGGGGGGAACTTGCAATTTTGTTAAATAGAAATAAGATCACCACTGGAAACTTGAAAGCTAGGCCGAAAGATAAGTTTATGACTTGTAAGCTGTGCAAGGAATATGAGTGTGAACGGTATACAGAAAACCAAGTTGCAAAATCACACAGCTGTCCAGGTAGTCGTATCCAAGCAGAGAGTACAGAATGCACCGAGAAACCATCCACATAGAGCAATACAATGAAGTAATGAGCCAATGTTCACGCCTGTAGGCCACAGCAACACAGTATCCAAAGTCGCTCCCCTCTGTCTGGCGCCCAGCACCCAGCCTACTCTACCCGACTATCCTACCTACAGCTAGTTCACGCAACAGGCTCACTTCGACTCTCGAAGACCAATGTACATGACTGTGTTATGATTCTGGTTGTTTGTTGTCTGAAGACCAACACTCACTCACATAGACTTCCAGGTATGCCCATACATACACAGGAGGAAGGGGAGAGGATAGGAGTTTCACACCACACAGGGAGAGATAAACACAGCGGAAGACTTGACCATGCGATATGACAGGGTACACTGAAAGTGCAATTTGCTCCACTCAATCCTCACAACCAGTCATAAAGGAAAGCCGAGTCGATCTCATCCAAGAAACAATGAAACGATGATAGTCCAAACCCAGCATCACACTGTTTATTAAACTCAGAGTCTCGAATTGTCAGGATAACCTCAGTACTACAGTGCGCTGCTCAGAAATGAGCAGCGCTTCACTCCCCAACCCTGAGTAACCACCCGTGACGCCCCTGAGCCCCTGAAACATCAAGCGCCTCCCAAGTACTGCCTCCAGAGGGCAGCGCCACCCTGAAACAGGCCGCTGAGGCCAAGCGCCACTCAGAGGATGAAGAAGAAGATCAGCGCCACAGTATCTGATGATGACGAAGTGTCAGAAGACTTCCCGAGTGGAAGTCTGCAGCAGCGCCACCCAAATCCTGACAAGATGACCTCTGAGGAAGAAGCTGCAGCTATGGCTGCAGCACCACAACCGTGGAACCCCACTCCGGAGGAGGGTCCAGCAGGGCACCAACTTCCCTCGCCTCCAGCAGACCTCGATAACCCAGACCTCTGACAGCCCCTACGTGCTGGCAGAGTACAGCGCAGGTCCCAGCAATGGCCGGCGCTCCGAAGGTCTGGCTATGCCTGTCTCCTTCCACGCTGAGCCGTCACCACTTCCGGTTCACGCGTAGCGCAGCAGCGATGTACTTGGTACCAACTGCCAAAAGCCCTGAACCGATGTGCCCATCCTATCTATAGTCTACTCTAGCCTAGACTCGACCTACACCGGACTGACTGACCGACCGGTACCATTTCTGTTTCGGCCTCTAGGGCCTCTCCCAACCCGGCTTTAGGCTATAGGACCATCTATCACCTTAGGCCCTTAGGGCCTGTCTGTCCTAGAGGTAGCCCGGGCCAGCTATTCGCAGTTAGGATAGCTGTAGGGAATTCTGTTAGTACGGGCCTATATTTTCCCGAATTTACAAATATGTCGCTCACGAATTTCCTTACAGGCAGGTCTCTTGGTTAGCCCTCAGACAAACAAAATTACGAATCTAACCTAAGACGCGGCCCGACCGAGGCAAGCCCCAAGCTTCGCCCTAGGCCCAATGCACAGTCCACTGAGAATCTGCAGGCTTCATTACAACTGTCAACTCCATAGCCGACCTCTCTTCATGTACCGGGTGCGTATCTCGTCACCCTCAATCAGACCTTGATTACACCACACTCGCCTCCTTCCTTGAAGACCACTCGATCGCCCGCATTACCCCCTCGGCGCCCAGCAGGCCGGCTATGGCCGCCTGCGCCCCGCTGCCCTGCACCGCCCCACATCACCACTATGCGCTCCGTCAGCGCCCTTGGCAGCAGCGCAGCATCAAGCGAGAGCGCAGCAGCACTTCCGCATTGCCAGCACTGGCCAGAATGCCTGTCCTGGGCTGCCTTCCTCCTTTTGTTGAAGTGGCAGCCTCCTCAATTCTGCATGTGGCCTGGCTGGAAGCTTCCAGTAGCTTCCGGTTGGGCCTCGGACCCTGCGCCCAGGCCCGAGACTACAGCTGAGGGCCTGGGCCCTTACAGTTGGGCACGGCCTGAGTCTCCGGACTTGGGCTGTTTGCTGCATCTGTGCAGGGTTCCCGGCAGGTGTGTCGGCAGTACTGCTTTTGCAAAGGCCGCTGGCCTGCTTTCCAATGTATCGGCCCTGCTTTGTGTGTATGTGCCCAGGCGCAACTGTCAAGGCCTGGACCAACTGTATGACGCAGCTTTGTGAGGCTCACGCGTCTCTCCAACCAACTAGTGTGCTGCGAGAGCCTGAATACCCACATATCGAAATGTTGAATTCTGCCTCTAACGTATATTCAGGCCCGCCTTCACTTAGGGCGGGCATTCGGCTTGCTGAGGGCCTTAGCCCAGATCATGTGATGTCTGATAGGGCCCCTTGAGGGCTTGTTCCTCACAGCTGTCTTGTCTTGCTGTAAAAATAGCATGGTTGCCAGTTCTACTTGGCCCGATGAAGCTCACCCAAGATTGCAAGTACAGGCCCTTCAGAGCCGGTCCGGTTGGCCCAACGGTTCACCACAAACTGCACCAACATTTTTTGGCGGTCCTCCAGGCACTGGAAAATCGCCTGGGAATCCCAAAACGTTTTTTTAATTTTCTAGAAATGGGGCCCAACTGGACCCCCAAACCGGACACCGGATCGGACATCCAGACCAGACTGTGTGGATCCCGATCCGGACGTCCGGTTAACAACCATGAAAAATAGTAGAGCAAGAATTACCAAATTGGCTTATACTACAAGGTCGATGGAAAGTGTTCTACCAATTTAGAAAGAATTTCATTATTGGTACATTTATGAGACCTATACTGGGGGCGGGGGGGGCGGGGGGGTTGAGGACAGTTAGGATGAGAGGGGCAGGAAAGACTGAAAAGGTGTTGGGAAGAGGCTGGGGGGCAGAAGGGGGGCGGAGCAAGGGTTGACAAGGGTTAGGTAGGGGGAGTTAGGAAGGACCAGCGAAGTTGGGAGAGGGTCTGGAGGAGAGGGGGCGGGGGAGCTGACATGACTTGGGGAGGGGCTTGGGGAGCTGGGAGAGGTTGCGAGAATGGGAGGAAGCTAATGTGATTGATGGCACATTGTGACAGGAAGGAGAAGGATCAACAGAACGTAGCAGCAGAAAAGATTTTCATAAATGAAGACTAACCCTGCCAGGGAATATGATGAATGCTCCGGTGATGCTGCCGAAGTAAAGACCTGCTGATCGACCAAAAGTTCCGTCATCAAACGAGGACTTAAGTGTGCTCCTTATGGGGGCTTGGATGCAAGCGTGGTCAAGGATGGTCTCTTTCACACCCTTGTAGTATTGGAGATGATCTACATTGGGTAACCTGCAAACGACAAGCAATGAGATAACGAGGCACAGAAAGGTTCAAATTTTAAACCTTTGGCAAAGTGGTCACATAACTAAATGCAATGAACCATATTGGGAACGTAAATTTCCAGCAGCGAGCGACTCAAAGCAGAACCAGCATATGTGCGCAAAGTTGAAAGTAGGATTATAAAACCAAGAGCACACACTGACTCTGAAAGTCTCTTGATAAAGAAAGTCTAAATTCTAGCATCCTCTCATTAATGCAAGAACACTGTAGTAGTTCTCCAATGATGTGACCACCTATACTACCTCCCCACTCACTCGCTATACACAGCCTACTTCTCTCTCTCTCTCTCTCTCTCTCTCTCTCTCTCTCTCTCTCTCTCTCTCTCTCTCTCTCTCTCTCTCTCACACACACACACACACACACAC